TTAATAAAGTGGCACCTATATGGGCTACAGCCTTCTAAGACTATGGTAGATACGCCGCCGGCATAACTAGAAAGGAGATGATGAAATGGTTCCAAGAGTATATGATAGTAAACCACCCTAGCGCGAAGAATAAGCACAAAGTGGCCTTTATAACTAATAGAGCCTTTCTCGCTAATAGTGGTAAAACTACTTAGGGTAATAATAGGGACGCCTCTTATGCTAAATACGCGCCATCTAAGGGACGTCCCTTAAAACGAAAGAGAGCGTATCCACATAGGACCTCTTGGCTATTATATGATGAGCCTTTAAACACCATAGGCCTATGCCTAGTATGTGAATAAAGCCATGTAGCCAAAGACTACTTTTACCTTTATAAGGAACTAGCACCTACATGGTGGAAACTAAGACTAGCTATTAGTGAACTAATTAAGCTTAAATATAAGTATAATAGCGCGTTTTAAGGGCTAATTTAAGGTTAAAGTAGATCACGAATATAAATACCTTATATTAAATAGTCCTATACGCCGACGCCGACCTAATTAATAGAGGCAAGTAATGAGTAACTAGATGGCCATAAAGTCACGTTAGTCCATATAAGCTTTAATATAGTAACTCTCTCTAAGCTAAATACGTATCTACTCTATAACTTAGTAATCCTTAACTTAGGCACAACTTGCCATATCTTTAACGATATTAATTGATTTCTCGCACTACGGCCACCAAGGCTAGGTGACTTTATATGGGCTAGGAATACGTAAGTTTAAATATAAGGATATAGCAGCATCTATATATGTTTAAAGAGCACGCGCAGTAACAGCATAATTAGGCTAGATAATATGGTATACTACCCTAATCTACTCTATAACCTAGTGTCGTTTCGCCTGCTTAGACGTTAAGGACTATGGTAGGATACCAAGTTAGAGCCTATAGTAATTAAATAAGTAGACAATATAGTGATTATGGAGCTTTAAGAACTATATGGTTAATAGGTACTTAAAAATAGACCTATAGACTAAGGGTAATTATATACTATAAGTAGTAGTATAACCTTTATTATATATAAGATTAATTTACGC